TTTACACTAAACCTTTTGGGGCCCTTTTTATCTTGCTGTTCGGCGTGAGCCAAGGCTCCGTGTTGAAGGCCGTACTTTGACCTATAATTGTTTACCTTTTACACATTGTGACTTGGATGTCTTATTGGCACTCATACCACATTCTCTTATTTCTATGTAAGATTAGTCCCACAGCACCACATGTTGTACTTATATCAAGTGAGGATCATTGATTGTTGATTGCTGTTTATAACTCTGTTTTCTTGATAAAGTCGGATGTTAAAGGTTTGTGCGATCTGTTTTACCGTTTAATAGATTTTCTAATCCTGTTATCTTTGAACAGATGAGTATAATTATATCTGATCAAACAAGAAGGCAGTGAGTGGTCGCACTAATAAAATTAGATACATTTAGCTTTGAAATCATACAAGTATACCGGGACCCTCATTTACGGACTGGATCGTATACTGAAATCACCTTGGTCTGGAACTTTATACGGAGTAGCTATTTATCCTAGCACTATTCGTCCGTCCATTGCAAGGCGCATGTCACTTTATCACCATGTGCGTGCGCGTAATATAATCGTCAGCAGCACCAGGGGGGGGGGGGGGGGGGGGGGGGGGGGGGGGGGGCGCGTGTAATCCGATCACTAATGTTGGGATCATGGCTGGAAATGGTGGTTTCAATGTTTAATTGTGAAAAAATTTCCAGTTTTCAGAACTTTACACGCGAATTCGGTAATATTTAAGTTCTCCACTTTATAATTTTGAATTGTACCCTGGTACCAGTTTTTATCCTCCGTTCGTCCGTCACACTTCGCACAACAGCTCAAATTTGATTTTATAAATCATGATGTCATTTTAACATCACACTAGGATTGACGGACAAAAACTCACTCAGAATTAACACACACAGATAAGGAAAACATATGATTTAAATTCCGTTCGCATAACACCTTCTTCTAGATATACCGTTATTAGGTATGATTTTGATAAAAATTTGAAGAGCCAAAAATATAAAACAGCATAACATTCAAAAGTGCCTCAATAAAACATTCGAAGCCATGCGAAGGATTGCAACATTATTTTTAGATTATAGTTAAATTACATGAGATGCATAGTAAAAAAAAAACAGTTCAAATTATATAACAAAATATTGACCTTTTTTTCAATTTTTGTGTTAATTTCAGTTCTTATTTGCTTTAGTTTTTGTTATTCGTTAACAGTTTAGCAATGAGTTATACAAATTTATGTGTTTTGATTTAAAATGGCGAGCTGCACCGCATATCTTTTATTACTATTTTTATCATATTTATCCTACAATACAATATTTAGAAAGAGAATCTCTATACAGCACAGCCTTATTGATTTTGTGAAATATCAGTTTTGCTTGTGATGAGGATTTCGTTTTGAAACTGTGTAAATGCTGGTAACCCAAAATTATAAATGTCATATATTACTATAAGTAACGGAAAGATCTATGGTAGTAGGTAACCAACAACTACCTCCATTCACAGTAAAAATAAAATACAACCACGAAAGATGTTTCATTCAAACCATCCAAAGTCTACTGTATTGGCATTTACCCATATATATATTTTTTCTTACAGATAAATCTGATCACAATGACGACCCAGAAAAGTAGACGTCACTGAAATAAAATGTACAAAAAGCTGATATTGTGTCTGTTAAATCAATATACAAATAAAGAGATGTGTTACTATTGTCAATGAGACAACTATATATCCACAAAGACCAAAGGACGAGGATATAAACAACTATAGGACAATGTTTGGCTTACAACAATGAGCAAAACCCATACCATGTAGTAAAGCTATAAAACGACTAAGTATGACAAAATGTAAAACAATTCATAAGAGAAAACCAACTGTTTGATTTATGCTCAATTAAACAAACGAAAATCATATAAAGCAGGAGGCAACCATTGGGATACACATGTTTGTGAGCCATCAATCCTCCCCTTAACATGGGACAATGACGTAATAACACAAACAACACACGAACAAAACAAACTTTACAAAAACAGTTGTCAGGGCTTAACTCATCAGGTTGGCACTATGCACACAAAAACTGAACAAAAAGAACAACACCAAGTACATGCATCAATCTAAAATACTCGCAGTTACGTATACTGACAGCAAGTTTAAAGACAATCCAAACTACTAGTAATTAATAAACAGTGTGGCTAAGCATATAGTTAGATTTCGGGTTAAATTTCGAGTTCAAACCACTTCTATAGATGTTTTTTTTTCGAAAGAAGTGTGACTATTTTATAAAACAAGTAACACTGAGGCTGAAATGGTACAAAAGAGGGACGAAAGATACCAGAGAGACATTCAAACTCATAAATCGAATATTAACTGACAACGCCATGGTTAAAAGGAAAAAGACAAACAGACAAACAATAGTATACAAAACACAACATAGAAAACTAAAGACTAAGCAACACGAACCCCACCAAAACCTGGGGGTGATCTCGGGTGCTCCGGAAGGGTAAGCAGATCCTGCTCCACATGTGGCACCCGTCGTGTTGCTCATGTTAGTACAAACCCGGTACAATGTATATACGTTTCTTGAAGAGTTCAAACTATGAAATATTCATTTAAAGAATAGCTTAATCTCCCTAGCACCAAAAGACATACTATTTTTAGACAACTATACAATCATAATTATGACAGAAAGATGATAATATCTAGTCATTATCTTTGTCAATTTAAAATCATTTATTTTGAATGCTGTTTGTTTGTTTGTTTGTTTCTTGTTTTTTTAATCCCAATACGAGAATAAGCAGTTTTATTTTCCCGGTCTTTAACTTGCTTGAGATTACCCCAAGTTTTTAGTGGGGTTCGTGTTCCTCAATCTTTGGTTTTCTATGTTGTGTTTTGTGTACTGTTGTTTGTTTGTCTGTCTTTTTCTGTTTTAGCCATGGCGTTGTCCGTTTATTTTCGACGTATGCATTTGAATATCCCTTTGGTATCCTTTGCCTTAGTTTAAAGGACACAACTGGGGAAATTCGATGAAGCTGTATTACTTTACCCACCTGCACGAAAGATAAACCAGATTTTAGGGAGTTTAAATAGTAATGTAACGGAAGTCATATGACCAGATTTTGTCCCCAACAGATGGAATAAACTATTCAAAGGATTGATAGATTTATGAATTTGAGCTTAACAACCAGTGCATGGCAAATATTGTAATCATATCAGGACGAGAACAGATTAATGTGATATGAACATACATGTAAACACACCTGCTTTGTACTAAACCGACAATTGAGCTGGGTTTTTTAAGTGTCAGTTCAAAAATTCACAGTCATCAGGGAAACTTGACACCCTGTCTAAACAAATATTTCTGACTGCGGAATGGCCAGTCATAAAGATTGTTCTTACTCCCATATGCTGCAAAGAACATTATCAAGTCCATGGTTTGACCAAACCAAGGGCATCAAAAGATGAACACACAGTCTTCAATAATTATGTAATCGTCTGTATAAAGTATGACGTTTTACATCAGCCCGAGCATGGCAAATGTTGAATACATTGTGAAACAGACCTTAGAATATCTTCAACCACAACCCAGTTTCTAAATGATAAAAAGACATAATGATATATAACAAAAAACAAAAAAATCAATAAATGGAGAATGTGTCCATGGGACACAAGATGATACATCCGCTTGCACTTTCTCCATTTTCTGAAGAGCATAACTCGAGAACGGTAAAAGTGACGACAACCAAGTTCAAACTTATTTTGTGTTTTGTGGTGATAAGCATTGTGAATAAGTTTCACAACATTTGGTTGAGGCAAACTAATTTATAAAAGTAAGAGAACGGAAACTCATTTTGGAACGTACGGACGGACAAGGGTAACACTTAATGCCTCCTCCGCCGATCACAACTGATAAGGTTCCTGGCATGGAATTAATACTTACATTTATATAGATGTAATAATAAAGAATTCATAGAAGTGAAGAAAATAAACCGAAAATCAGTTCAGAAGCTACCTTAAGAGTAAATTGATAACATCATATTGTGATATTGTTTCAATATTTAACTTTTTTCATTATTACTATTTACCAGAACGTTGTCTTGTGAACTTATAATCAGAAGCGTTCGCGCAGAGAACGTGCAAAACATTGAAGAGCTCAATATCTCAGTGTTTGCAGGGGAGGTATTTTTTTGCCACTAGCTTTTTTACTAAGTTGACAGGCAAGGGATTACTGTAGATTAACTGTTAGTATTCTGTCTTCTGAGCACAGTGTAAACATTCTAGTAGACGATTGTCGTTAAACACGTTTTCACTTTTTCTTAATTATTCACATCATGCCAGTCATTTCTGAAATTCAACATATATTATACATTGTAGTTTAAAAAAGGGGTCAACAACTATAACTTGTTTGTCACTTCTTTTATCAATAAAATAGTGGAGTAAACGTAAACAAGACAGCAACCCAAAGACAAAAATCCAAGGACATCTAAAAGTTAACACAGGGTCTGCAATATTTAGTCGTCTGTACAAAGTATGTAGTTCTTTATTAGCACGGGCTAGAAAAGTTCAGAATACATTGAAACAGACTATCGTAGATCTTCTTCACAAACATAATTATAAATTATCTATATAAAGGAAGTGAACAATATAACAAAACACAACCACTGGCTAGGTTCCTTGCATGGAATCAACACTGATATATGTGGCTGGCTTTATATCTCGATCGATAACAAAAAATATACAAGTTTAACCTTTCCAAACACTTCATCTTGTGAGGTTATGGCCGCGGGTTTTAACTAAAACTGGTACAATTTACGAAACACAGAAAAACTATCTAAAAATATGAAATATCTATAACTTAATCACATTAGCTAATTTTAGAGAGAACGTCTGGATAATAGTCAACAATCAATTTTACAAGGGCGTCGAATCGTTATGAAAAACCCATAAATATATATATACATATAACACATGAAAACCCAAAATATGTAAAAATAGACACTTGACGTAATCATGTCAATACACGTTATTCGTTTCGACAACACCTTTTGTTATTAAATGGCCATGACACATTAGGAAAATTATTTTTGTGAACTGTTGACTGGATGCGGAAGTAAACTGTGATTTAACCTATTCTATCAGTTGAATGAACAGATCTGTTATACAGAACGGTTTAAACTGTATGTATTGTTGTTTATTAGTATTTAGGGGACGACCAGTTGACATTCTGGGGAAGCGGGATTTTTTTTTGCCGATTGACAACTCATTTCAACTGTTGTTACGCATGCTCATTTTTTTTTATTTTCGCTTTAGTTGCCTGCATTTTTGTTGCAGAATATTCATTTTCATCCTGTCTTATGCAAAGTTATTTATTTTCAGCTTTTACCAGACAAGTACATTTATTTGAAAATCCTCCTGCTACCCCGCCCCTCCTCCAAAAATCAAATTGTCACCCCCTTACACGATCTGATAATATTATATCAAAGAGTATGATTGATGAAAAGATAGCTATTTAATGCCCAGTGGCAAGTATTACATGCATATTTAGATCGAGACTTTGTGAAAGTGACATGAAAATGAATATGAACCTTGGTTTATACTATAGTCATCCATGCTGAGCCGGGTTTTTAACGTGCTAGTTCACAAGGTGCATGTAACATCCACAGGAACACATGTAACCCTATTCTGATAAATTGTTATGACTCCGGGCCATCCAATCTTTGCTCGTTCTCTTAAATAAATCGTGCTTAGCAGAAAAAACAGCAAACACCATTGAATTCTGTATTCTTTAACTTTTTAAGTCATTTTTCTCTATTCTTTATATTTATGCCAATTATTCATGTTTTTATCTATTCTTTATATTTTATCACCCCATTATTCTCTATTCTATACCTTTTTTTACCTAATTTTCTCTTTTCAATAATGTACCCTTTTTTGTAGAATTGGTTCACGATTCTCTATTCTATAAACCACATGCAACCCTCATAACAGATCACGTATGATCGTAATCACTGCTTGTCCATTGAAGATAGACTAGGCCCTTGTTATGTATTGTCTGGAAAGTAAATAAATAAATAAATGATGTATAAAACCTGAAAGTATTTTCAGTATGAAACACGCTGAAAGTTTTAAATAGAAGTCAAACTGTAGATGACGTCTGTTTCGATTCTCAGTTTTCTTACGTGTATTCAACAATATTTCTCCACTCTTAACAGTTAAATTTTAATTATTTAAAAAGCTCGGGAAGCCTCGCGCTTTAAATATTAAAATCTAACTGTCTCGAGTGGAGAAATATCGTAACACACTTGTTGCAGTGGTGGAATCTATATTTCACCAACGCACTTTGTAGCATTTGTGTAACTAAATTTACAAACATTAAGTACAATAAGCATGAATAGATCAAATAAAGCTTAATCTGATTACATAACTTGTTATCAGAAACGTGAAGTTAAAACCAAAGAAGTAAAAAAACCTAACAATCCGATTACATAACTCGTTATCAGAACCATAAAGTTATATAAACCAAAGAAGGAAAAAGACATAACCAATTACTTTATCTTTCTATGACAACAGTCGTATCATAAGTGTGAATCGTTAATCATTTAGTGAGACACATATATAATCTTAAGGACCATTGAGGTTATAAATATCTTTCAATTTTTCGAAAACGTCTCGAGTTCATTTTGTACATATTCAACTTCCTGTTTTTTGTTTCGGTTTCGTAATCTCTTATCTTTTGTGTCACATGATCATTTTTTAACTGTTCCTCAGTACCTCAATTGTGCACGGTAAGTTGCTCTTTTATTTTAATATGTATTTTGTATATTTAATTTAAATGCTTTGTAAATTTACTACCAAAATTAGTAGATATATTTTATACAAAATGAAAAAAAGAAATTAGCAGTAAAATTAGAACTTGATACGAGTGTATGTGTGGGTGGAAATAGAGAAAATATGTAATGGTATACATAATACACAGACACATTAAATTGATTTTCATTCCAAGTTTAAAATCTATTAATGCGCGGGTTATAATTTTCTCATATAGGATTTCGATTCTAAAAATGAATTGCATAATCGTTTAGATTTTTATACGACCGCAAACAAATTTTTGTGGTCGTATATTGGTATGACGTTGGCGTCGTCGTCGTCGTCGTCCGGCGTCGTCGTCGTCGTCGTCGTCGTCGTCGTCGTCCGTCGTCGTCCGGCGTCGTCCGAAGACACTTGGTTTTCGCACTCTAACTTTAGTTTAAGTGAATGGATCTTTATGAAATTTTACCACAAGGTTCAATACCACAAAAGGAAGGTTGGGATTGATTTTGGGGGTTATGGTAATAACAGTAAAGGAATTAGGGGCCAAAAATAAGCATTTTTGTAACTTCCAGACATAACTTGTGTGTTAGTGTATGGATCTCTCTGACATTGTACCACAAGGTTCCATATCACTAAAGGAATGCTGGGATTGATTCTGGGGGTAATTGCCTCCAAATTTTAGGAATTAGGGGCCAAAAAAGGGGCAAAAAACAAGCATTTTTCTAGTTTCATGACAATAACTTGTGTGTAAGTGTATGGATCTCTCTGAAATTGTACTACAAGGTTCCATATCACAAAGGGAAAGCTGGGTTTGAGTTTGGGGGTAATTGCCCTAAACGTTTAGGAATTTGGGGCCAAAAAGGGGCCAAAAAACACATTTTTTTCTAGTTTCCAGACAATAACTTGTGTTCAAGTGTATGGATCTCTCTGAAATTGTACTGCAAGGTACCATACCACAAAGGGAAGGCTGGGATTGAGTTTGGGGGTGATGAATCATAATGGGGGTTCAAAAAATTTTGGGGGGGGATTTATTTTTTTTTTCCTTTTTTTCTTTTTTTCCTTTTTTGTTTCTTTTAAAATTTTCCATTTTAAGTTGGTTATTTCTGATTTATATTTAAAATCAAATAATAATGATATGGTAGGAGATACACACCAAACAGGATGTGTAAATTATTATATAATAAGTATTGTGCAATAGCAAGAAATTTTCAATTGCACAGTATTGCACAATAGCAAGAAATCTTCAATTGCACAGTATTGCGCAATAGCAAGAAATCTTCAATTGCACAGTATCGCGCAATAGCAAGAAATATCCAATAGCACAATATTGCGCAATAGCAAGAAATTGTCAATTGTACAGTATTGCGCAATAGCAAGAAATATTTAATAGCACAGGATTGTGCAAAAGAAGATACTTCCTATAAATTGCTTATTTCTTGACCAATTTCAATGGGGTTTTATTCTTGATTTCATGGGGTTCTTTAATATGCTGAATCTAACCGTGTATTTAGTTTTTGGATTTTGGGCCCCGTTTTTAAATTGGTCCACATTGAGGTCCAAAGGGTCCAAAATTAAACTTTGTTTGATTTCATCAAAAATTGAATTATTGGGGTTCTTTGATATGCCGAATCTAACTGTGTATTTAGATTCTTAAATTTTGGTTCCGTTTTCAAATTGGTCTACATTAAGGTCCAAAGGGTCCAAAATTAAACTTAGTTTGATTTTAACAAAAATTGAATTCTTAGGGTTCTTTGATATGCTGAATCTAAACATGTATTTAGATTTTTGATTATGGGCCCAGTTTTCAAGTTGGTCCAAATCGGGGTCCAAAATTAAACTTTGTTTGATTTCAACAAAAATTGAATATATGGGGTTCTTTGATATGCTGAATCTAACCATGTATTTAGATTTTTGATTTTTGGGCCCCGTTATCAACTTTGTCCACATTGAGGTCAAAAGGGTCCAAAATTAAACTTTGTTTGATTTCATCAAAAATTGAATTATTGGGGTTCTTTGATATGCCGAATTTAACCGTGTATTTAGATTCTTAATTTTTGGTTCCGTTTTCAAATTGGTCTACATTAAGGTCCAAAGGGTCCAAAATTAAACTTAGTTTGATTTTAACAAAAATTGAATTCTTAGGGTTCTTTGATATGCTGAATCTAAACATGTATTTAGATTTTTGATTATGGGCCCAGTTTTCAAGTTGGTCCAAATCGGGGTCCAAAATTAAACTTTGTTTGATTTCAACAAAAAATGAATATATGGGGTTCTTTGATATGCTGAATATAACCATGTATTTAGATTTTTGATTTTTGGGCCCCGTTATCAACTTTGTCCACATTGAGGTCAAAAGGGTCCAAAATTAAACTTTGTTTGATTTCATCAAAAATTGAATTCTTGGGGTTCTTTGATATGCTGAATCTAACCATGTATTTAGATTTTGGATATTGGACCATAATAGGTGAATGTCCAATTTAAAATTTTTAAGTTCTTAGACCACATTCAATCTGTGTTAGAAACCTATGCTGTGTCAAATATTTAATCACAATCCAAATCCAAAGCTGTATCAAGCTTGAATGTTGTGTCCATACTTCCCCCAACTGTTCAGGGTTCGACCTCTGCGGTCGTATCAAGCTGCGCCCTGCGGAGCATTTTATTTACCTTAACATAATAATTTCATTTTTTTTACTGTTTGTGTTGCTGTGTAATAGCCCACATCTCATTTATCTAGCTATAATATTAGCCACTTAGTTCTAAAGATCTAACTATAATATGAGTCATTTGGTTCTAAAAATCTAATAAAATTGAGAATGGAAATGGGGAATGTGTCAAAGAGACAACAACCCGACCATAGAGCAGACAATAGCCGAAAGGCACCAATGGGCCTTCAATGCAGCGAGAAACTCCCGCAGCCGGAGGCGTCCTTCAGCTGGCCCCTAAACAAATATGTATACTAGTTCAGTGATAATGGACGTCATACTAAACTCCATATTATACACAAGAAACTAAAATTAAAAATGATACAAGACTAACAAAGGCCAGAGGCTCCTGACTTGGGACAGGCGCAAAAATGCGGCGGGTTTAAACATGTTTTTTGAGATCTCAACCCTTCCCCCATACCTCTAGCCAATGTAGAAAAACAAACGTACAACAGTACGCACAGTAAAACTCAGTTTAAGAGAAGCCCGAGTCCGATGTCAGAATAGGAAACAAAAGAAAATAAACAAAATGACAATAATACATAAATAACAACAGACCACTAGCAGTTACTGACATGCCAGCTCCAGACCTCAATTAAACTGATTGAAAGATTATGTCTTCATTATATGAATATCAGGCACAATCCCTCCTGTTAGGGGTTTAG